TGGCCACCACTAGGAGTATCATAAAATTCATTGATGAACACTGTGCATAAGGATGAGGTAGGACTAATTTCATATCTACCATGGAATATCAACAACCCCTGCCTTACAGAATAAGGAAAAAGTAGATTTCCATGTTGATGTTTGAAATGGAATGATTGAAGAAAAGGGTCAGTGAGATTCTCTTGCTTTAGTTGGTCAATAATTTGGAAGACAGGACCAGAAACTAAGGCAAGAAAAATTGAAGGCAGAGTAGTTGCATTATCGTCCTGGGTAGCAGGGACCCTCGAAAGAGCATCTACAACACTATTAGAGCTACCTGATTTGTACTCAATGCGAATTGTGAAACCCATAAGTTTTCTCACATAAGCTTGTTGACCCGGGGTTTGAATCACTTGTTGCAAAAGTTCTTTGATACTTTTATGATCAGTGCGAATCACAAATAAGGAACCTAGCAAATATTGACGCCACTTAAGCACAACTTCAACAATTGCATGTAATTCCTTGACGTAAATAGAGGAGGCTTGAAGATGAGGACTCAACTTCTTGCTAAAATAAGCAATATGATGGCCTTTTTGCATTAAAACAACCCCAACAACATCATTAGAAGCATCAGTCTCAACAATAAATTCTTGAGAAAAATTAGGAAGTTGTAAAACAGGGGCTTCGACCATGGCTTGTTTGAGAGCTGCAAAAGCCGAATCTGCAACAACATTCCATTCAAAGGCACCTTTATGCAAAAGGTTTGTAAAACGGGAAACAATTAAGGCATATTTAGCCACAAATCGACGATAATATCCTGTGAGTCCTAAAAAACTGTGGAGCTGTTTGATGTTCTTGGGATGAGGCCACTGCACCATGGCTTCAATCTTCTTAGGATCAGCATGAACACCTATAGAAGAGACAATGTGGCCCAAGTATTCGATGGAATGCTTGCAAAACAAACACTTAGAGAGCTTAGCCTAGAATTTATGTGAGTATAAACGATGCAAAACCAGCTCTAAATGTTGAAGATGATCATCCAAAGAAGAACTATATATCAAAATATCGTCGAAGAAAACAATGACAAACCTTCGAAGATAAGATGAAAATAGTTGGTTCATGGTTGCCTGAAATGTCGATGGGGCATTTGTTAAGCCAAAAGGCATAACAAGAAATTCAAAGTGGCCATCATGAGTACGAAATGCAGTCTTGTATACGTCTTTAGAGTGTACATGAATCTGGTGATATCCAGCACGTAAATCTAGCTTACTGAAAATTGAGGCACCCCCTAACTCATCCAAGAGTTCATTAATAGTAGGAATTGGGAATTTATCCTTCACAGTGGCCGCATTAAGGGCCCTATAATCGATGCAAAACTGCCACAACCCATCTTTCTTACGAACAAGCAACACAGGAGATGAGAAAGGGCTATGGCTTGGTCGAATGATCCCTTGCTCAAGCATTTCGCGAATTGACTTTTCCATCTCCGACTTTTGAAAGTGTGGGTATCTATATGGATGAACGTTGACAGGTTTGGTGCTAGCGATCAAATGAATGCGATGGTCAATAACACGATGAGGTGGTAGGCCTAAAGGGGGCTGAAAAAGATCCTTGTATTTAAGCAATAATGGTTGAACTGCAGGGGAAATGTCCAATGGAAAGGCAAACTTCGATGAAACATTATCCCTATCAACCACTGAACTAGAAAGCTAAAAAAGAAAAGAAGAATCCTTATGGTGAACAAGAGCTTGTAAGTGATGGATAGAAATTGGACTCGATAGAGATGTGGTTTCACCTCTAAGAGTCACCTGTTGACCCTGCCAAATAAAATTCATAGTGAGAGCTGAGTAATCATGTGATACTCGACCAAGCGATTGTAGCCAAGGAAACCCAAAAACAAAATCAGGACCTTCAATCTCCAACACAAAGAGATTTACTGTGAATTCAATTCCTTGATGAATCAGAGACGTTGCAAGACAACTATATTGACAACTTAAGAAAGCACCGTTGCCTATGGAAACTCGAAAACGAGAAATAGGTGTTACTGGAAGAGCCAATTGTTCAACCAACGAGGGTTTGATGAAATTGTGAGTGCTGCCGCTATCAATTAAGACTTGAAATTGCTTAGAGCCAAAAGATCCAAACACGCGTAGAGAGCGACCCTGAAGTTGACAAGAAAGAGTGCGAAGGGTGGAAATATCACCAGAAACCTCCTCGGGTGTCGTATCATGATCTCCCACATCCTCGTTGGTAGGATCATCGTTATCCTTGCAACCAAGAAGCAATAAGTATTTGCTTTGACAACGATGATTGGGTCCAAATTTTTGATCGCAATTGTAATAGAGACCGCTCTCTCTTATCACGCAATTCTGCTGGTGTTAGTCGTCGAATCAGAAGGGTCGGTGAGGGTAGGAGAGGTGGGAGTTTGGCTGTATGTGCAGTTTGAGAATTGGGCTTGGTGGTTGGAATACGAGAGACATCCCCTGGGCCTACACTTGAAGGTTGGGGTCGACCCGTTACATGTCTGGAGCCAAAGGAGGAAGGCCCACGAGGACTTCCTTTTACCGTAACAACTACATCATCCATCCGAGCTTCATAAGCACTAGCCATGACAAAGGCTTCCATCAGTGTTGCTGGACGATGGAATTGTAACTCACGACGAATGTCCGCCTGAAGACCGGTGATGAAAAAACTAATGAGAAGAGGTTTCGATATACCCGTAACTTTGTTCAACAATTCCTCGAATTGAGTTTGGAATTCAGCAACCGATGACGTCTATGTGAGTTTCGAAAGATTTCCCTCATAATCCTCATAAACATTAGGATCGAATCGGTGTTTAACCGCGGTAATGAAAGAAGGCCAATTAAAAAATAGATCGTTTCTCTTGGCCCATTGAAACCAAGCCCCTGCACGTCCCTCCAAATGAAAGGAGACAATCTGCAATCGTGTGTCTGGTGGGGTTCCATAATAATCAAAATAAGCTTCAATACGAAACAACCAATCATCAAGGTCAGCACCATCAAAACGCGGTACATCGAGCTTCATTGAGCGAGGTGTCAATGTGTGTGAACGATGATTCAAAGAATCCGCGTGAGTCTGTTGAAACTCGGTACGAAGGTTAGCCGTCTTGGTCTCCACAGAAATCATGAACTGTTGTAAGGAAGCATGAATTGAATCGGAGAGAGTATCCAACTGTTTTTGAGAAATAACAAAAGAAGTGGAAGAAGACATGGCACCCAATCTACAAAATGGAGAAGAATAATCAATGAAAGCACCAGTGATACAGTAGGAATAGAAGAGCACCTTTCGAGCAGGTGTTTGCTCTAGAAAAAAAAAGACGAAGGAAGAAAAAAGCAAGAGAGAATAATTTTGTTATGATCTCTGTTCACCTCTTTTCCAATTCCACTACAAAATTTATATGGACTCAATACGAAAGATTGTCCACCCACCTTGCGCTAACAATATAATACTAGTAAAAACAAGAGAGGATCACCATTCAGTATTATTTGTATATTAAGATTTATTTATAGCAAATAAAGTCACGCAATTTAGTGGGCTTTTTGATGATGCGTTTGGGCCTCCCACTTTCCACCAATGGTTCCTCTATCATCCCTTCAGCAGGTGCGTGCATAGGTGTATGACCAACTCAATAGGAAGAGCTTGATTATGCACTGTACCAGAGACATATACATGACTATAGAGGGATAAAGCGCTGAATGGAGGAAAAGGGAGTGAATGAAGAAGATAGTTTTTTTTTTTAAATAAAATTTATTTTTAAAAAATAAATTCAAATTATATTTAAAAGAAACTTTTGAGGTGTATATAACTTTTGTCAATTTTTAATTTTCACATTTAAAAAAGAAACTCATGGACCATTCCATGTGGACCACATCCTACCAAATATTTAGCTAAACTAGCAAAATTTTAATCCACCATTAAATTGGGTCAGGTTACTGAACTTGAAAATGTATTAATCATGATGGACTCGTATATTCAATCTAAAAGTCAGATCTACAACTTAGAATTTGTTTTAATAATTTTTTTCAAAAACACTTATAAAAGAGAAAAATAGATAAGAAAAATGAAAAAAAAATAATTTTTCTATAAGATAAAATTAACTTATACAAAAGGAACTTTTTCCTATTAGCTTTTCCAAAAATTTATTTATAAGTCATGTATAAATTAGTTTTAATTTATGAAAATTATTTTACTTTTTCTTCCTATTTTTCTCCACTAGAAGTATTTCTAAATAAGTTTATAACTTTTTCTTCCTATTTTTCTAGAATTAATTCTTTTAAAATTACAACTGCTATTAACTAGGGCTTGTGGCTGTGGAAGATTTTAAATAATCTTATAACATGGAGTAGATAGAGAATGGATATTCTGGTTGATTACCAAGTTGTTATTGCTATTTCTTTTAATCATCAATTCCTTTCTTTAATGGAAACTAAGCATTTCAATATAAATTTTTTCTTATCATGAGATGTAAACAAACATGGGAGATATTGTTTTTACAGTAAAATAGAAATTCATGTTCCATTGCCAGTTAGCAAATTCGAATTCCCAAGGTCAAAACTTGGTATGGACGCAAAAGTTGAAATCAACTAAAGCTAAAGGGGTTTGTAAGTGAACGGTGTTGAACCTTGTGATAACATTGAGCTACTGAGTGACATGGCTTGTTATAAAATTGACATTTAATATAGAATTTACCATTTCAGAGAGTATGTGAAAATGCATTGTTCACTATGCTACTTATACTTAAGGTAATGTAACATAAATATTATTTTTGTTTTTATTCTATCAGAGTTCAATATCACTTCAACAATATACACAAGTGTATATTATTAAGATTTGTATTAAATGTTAATGCAACTCATCTTACACTTAGACATATTTACATTTAATGTAAACATTAATAACATACATTTACCAACATATTTTTAAGATAACACTTCAATTTTGATCATAGAAAAATGATAGTAGGTGTAATAATTTACCTAACTTTTTTTCGTCAGATTAAGTAACCCAAAACCAAAATCATATTTAAGGATGAGAGAACAATATATAAGAGTAAGCAGCATAAATATAAGCTGACAAGAGATGTGGTGATAATATATTGTTCTACACAGGAACATTTCCCTCTGTTGTTTACATGCCCCTAAACCTTGGTTTCCACACCCTCACTATCACTTTTCCCTTCATAGCAATCAGCCACTGCTACCTTTTGCACATTTTTGTATGAATATCGACGAGCAACAAACACAAACAAGAAGAAATTCACAGTGGTTATGGCTGCCAAAAGCCAATAGAATTTGTCCAAGCGACTACTATTCAAATCCTTCCCAAACCAACTCTTCCCACTCTTCTTTGTCATGTGATCAACAACTGTTATTAGCATGCTACTTAGGAAACTCGCTGCCCCAATTACACTAAGGTAAAATGCTATGCCAAGGCTTCTCATTGAGTCAGGAACTTGGTCATAAAAGTACTCTTGCAACCCCACAAGAGTGAACCCATCACCAAAGCCAATGATGAGAAACTGTGGTGCCAACCAGAAGACACTCATTGTTAGTGAACCCTTCAGTGGATCCCTCTCAACAGCTTCAAGCCTCTTTTTCTCCACCAAAGCAGCTACTATCATTGTGCCAACAGAGAAAAGCATTCCAAAACCAATCCTCTGAAGAATGTTGATTCCTCTCTCGTTTTGAGTTAGTTTTCTTAACACAGGTACAAGAATCTTGTCATATATGGTCACAGAAATCACCATCCCCAAGGCAGCAAAGGTGAAGATTGAAGCTGGAGGAATCTCAAATCCATTGCCTACCTTTCTGTTCAACTTGGTACCTTGTTTGATGAAGAATGTGGATGTTTGTGCCACACATATACCGAAAGGTAAGGTAGATAACCAAATGGGGATTATGTTGATTATAAGCTTCATTTCTTCAACCTTAGTCACAGTTGCTAGGTTCCATGGACTCTGCTTCTCTGCTGAACTTCCATCACTAGCAAGAATTGCTGCCTTGTCAAGAAATCTGCAATCAAATTATATAAATAATGAATTACATGTTAACATATAAATTGCAAGACAGGTTAAAATGGGACAAAGCATAACATATCAGTTCTTTTCTGTGTTTGCAAAATGAAGCATAGAGAATAAAAGTTTTTGATTCTGTCATTCAATCATGGATTTGTCATGTATGGTTAGATTGGTAATTTTTGTAACAATTATTTTAAAAGTCAAATTTAGGATGATTTCTAATTGGTTCACTTTGCGAAAATCTTTGAGCTGAGAGTATATCAAAATTAATCTCTAAAACATAGTATTAAAAAAGTGATACATTTTGGTTGGATTAAGAACTAGGTTTAACTACCATTTTAATTTTTATAGTTTCATGAATGTTATTTTTTAGTCTTTATAATTATAAATATTTTATTATAGTTTCTATACATACAATTTTTGTTTCATTTTAATTTCTATACTTATATAAGATTTATCTCATAGTCTTTATAGAAATAAACAACAAGGATTAAAGGAGACAAAAAATAATATGTATTAAGATTCAAAGGTAAAGTTTATGAAAATGTGAGGATTGGAAAGGGTAATTAAACCAATTGTTTAACTTTTGTTTGCTTTCCAAATACTACGAAGTCATGCTACTTACTTGAGTTTGTTAGTGTGACAGAGAAATCTCCTATTGTTGCTTAGAGACTTGGGAACTTCATACAATTGAGCAGGGTTAGAAGGATATGGAAGCTTTCTTTTGGAAATGGCAGCAACAAGAACCTGCAACATTGGAGTCAAGGGACTCCCAGTTGGTACCCTATAACGATAAAATGGTCTTCCTATTATGAAGATGAGCAGTGAAAAAGCCATGACCACAGTGAAGATAATATCAGCAGCACCCCAGTTTATGTTGTCTTGAATGTAAACAATGAGGGTCACTCCAAGAATAAGTCCACTGCATAGTGCACAATTCCACCAATTGAAAAAGGACATTTTTTGCCTCCTTTCTTCATCATGATCCTCATCAAATTGATCAGCCCCAAAGCTCTCCAAGGAAGGTTTGTGCCCTCCAGTTCCAATAGATATTAAGTAGATGGCAAGGAAGAAAATCACTTCATGAATTCTCCTAGGTTCAGCGCACATGTTTGTGTGATCACATGGCTTTAAGCTTGGTAAGAACCAAGAAAGAGTAAGGAGAATCAAACCCTGTGATTTTTTTAACCCATGAGAAATTTTTTCATAGTTAGAAGATACCGAAGAAAACAAATTAATAATGATAATATAGCCTTGTGGGATAAATTTATCCGTAAATATTTGTGCACAAGTTTTTTCAAATTGAAATTACTTTATACATAAGTTAAAAAGTAAGATTTTGGAGATATTTGTAAGAGAGAATTTTTATAAAATAATTTATTTATAAACTATTTTTAGTTTATGAAAAAAATTATTTATTTATTTTTATGGAAAGTATAGGCATAGGACTTATGTGTAATGCTAAGAAGTAATTGAATAGAGATGGAGCTTACTACGAGATAAACAATGGATGATGCGAGCACAGTGGAGTAACGACCCAAGTATGCATCGGCTATGAATCCACCAAACAGTGGCATCAAAGTTGTGACACCAGACCAGTAGTTCACATTTCTTGCTGCTGTCTTGAGTTCTTGATGCATAACCTTTGTCAGGTAAAGAACCAAACTGGTTGCTATTCCAAAGTAGCTCAACCTCTCACTAGTCTCAATTGCTGAAAACAAGGATCAAATTAAAATGGTAAGGTTAATGAGTAATGACTTGATGAAAATAAACAATTATAGTTTAAAAATTGTGAGCTCCAACATGATTGTTTCTATAAACACATGCTAATAGTTATGCTCTAGATACTCTAATTCGGAAGATCTTGTGGGCATTTGGTAACAAATTAATTTTGGGAAGTAATTAAAATTTGTTTCAAATGATTGGAATAAATAATTTTAATGTTGATTTTAAATAAAATTTATTAATATTATTATAATTTATATTTATATTTTTTTAATAATGTATCAATATATATATTACTTATACTATAGATAAAAATTGTTTTTTAATAATAAATACTGTATCATTATATAGTATATGTCATTATATAATAATTTTTAAAAAATTATTTTTAGTGATAGGATCACAAAAGGTGGATGATGAACGTACTATTTGAAAGAGAACAAACAACTCGAGCCACTAATCCCTAATCTTGTGCTTGGAAAGCGTCAGTTCGACGAGAAAGCAAACAGGTACGATTCCATTCTTTCTATTGTTTTTTTACACGCAAAGAGAATCATGGGTTTAGTCAAAGTCTTACATAGGAGAAGGGGGAAAAAGTAAGTAAAAAAAATCCCAAGGATTTTGATTCATTTAAAGTAAGTATAATAATAAATTTTTTTATTTATGAATAAAGTAAGTATAATTTGATATGACTTGTAGCTTGCTATAATAACATAAAAGAAAATGACGAATGAAAACTCAAGTAGAGAAGCTTAGTTATCGTAAATAATAAGAATACTGTTTAAACTAAAATACTAAATCCTTTTCCAAAATATCTTCTGAACGGTTAAACTTTTTAAAAAATCAAATATATCAACGTGAATCTTTAAGTGTTTGAAAAAAATTTCGGACGATTATTTTGAAATATATATCATTACTCATGTTTAAATTATTAAATATTTAAAATTAACTAATATTTATTTTTATAAATTTTAATCTTAATATATATATCGATTAAATATTTTTCAATTCTTGAAAATTTTCTCAATTTTTCACTTTTGTCTATGAATAAATTTTACTCAATTCTTAAAAAAAAATTCATGAACAACAAATTTTAACATTTAAAACCAAAATTTTAACGAAAAGAAAAGTTTAAGGTCTAAAAATAAAAATGATAAAAATTAAAAAACTTAAAATAAAACATGTAAATTAATTTATCAAAATAAAATATTTAATAAATGATAAAATTTTGAATCTAAGTATAACAAATTTTAAAAATTTTAAATCCTTTAATTTTTTGTTAAAAAAATTTCATCCATACACTACCTAAAGCTACAGATAATGGAGATGTTTGAGTTGTTAAAGGAGATGTTTTTTGGTGGGTTCTAATCCGATCTAAGAGATACATAAAGAGTCAGATTTAGTTACTACGATTGAGATTCATCACTAATATAGTTATGTTGAGACCCATGTTAATATGAGTACACTTACACTGTACTAATGTTTTAAAATTTAGACTGATATCAATTCGAACAAAATACTGCTTTGCTGGATTATTGGTAAAACAATTTAAATTATTACTATATATATTAAATTTATAAAATTTATATTAAATTTATGTAAATAACATTTGCCATATAAGTACTAAAGCTTTGGTAAAGTGGCAAAAACAAAACTTTAAAATCCCATGGCACTAATGTAAAGTAAATATGGGGAACACGTGAAGTGAATATGGCAGTGCTTGCAGCTTGCAGAATTCCAA